TGTACAGGTGTGTGTGTTTGCAGGTATGAGCATACTGTAGTTGAGGGGAGAACAGGACGAGAAGGAAGCTGACAACTTGTCACTCACTGCATTAGTCAGAGCAGTTATTTTTAATCACTTTACATATGTATTTGAAATGTGCAATTTTGTTTCAATTAAGGGCTCTAGTGCTTAAAAGAAGGAAGAAAATACAGGAAAGAGAAAAGAAGGATGGACAGAAAGATAAGAGGAAATGGGAGAATGAGAAAGGGAAGAAAAATAGAAGAGAGAAAAAAATCATCTTAAAGGGAAAAGAGGGAACGGTTTTATCTCACGTTCTACTCTCAGATAAACTTCCAGAATTCACCCCTCTGAGTTTGGCTCAGTAATGTCTCCTGGGGTGGGGAGAGATGAAATGACCTCAGCCCAGAATTCCTGAGTGCGTATATCCAAATTATCATCCAAAGATCATGGAGGACTGGACACAGTGACTCACACCTATAATCCCAACACTTTGGGAGCCCAAGGCAGCAGGGTCACTTGAGCCCAGGAGTTCAGGACTAGCCTTGGAAACACAGTGAGACATTGTCTCTACTAAAAATGAAAAAAAAAAAACCAAAAAAACAAAAACTGGGTGTGGTGGTGTGAGCCTGTAGCCCCAGACACTCAGGAGGCTGAGGTGAAAGGAGTTCAAGGTTGCAGTGAGCCATGATTGTGCCACCACACTGTAGCCTGGGTGACAGAGCAAGACATTGTCTCAAAACAAAAACAAAAACAAAAAATGGAGATGTTTACAAGGTGCATGGAACTGGGCTCCAGAGTGGGAGAAGGAATCATCTCCCAGTAGAACTTCCGGCTTTCTCAGAGGAGTGGCTGTGAATCCCCCTGTGGCGTGTCCTGGAGCCCTCACTTCCATCTCATGCAGCTGTCCCATGCCAGGCTGAGTGCTGTCCCACCTAGGAAGAGGCTAGGAATGGGTACAATTGGAGAACCTGATAGCCCACAGACATGCCCCATTTGAAAGGAAAAGCTTATTAATATATTTAGCAATAGGATTTAGGGAGGAGTTAATCAGAAAAAACCTTTGAGGCTATGAGGGATAAGATCAGGGTAGAGAATGACAGTGATTATCTTTACTGAAATTTGCATAAATGAAAGTGTCATCATCAAACAGAAACGTAGTACGCTCTGCTAGCAAGCTTTGGGCTGATGGGTGCGTCTGGAGTCAGCTCTATTCCAAGGAGGCTTTCCATGGCATTCCAGGCCATCTGAATCTGGAAATTCTCACTCGTCAGTGCTGCTTCAGGATGCAGTCTGCTACTCCCAGCCTGGGAACAGAACTGCGTGGATCCCCAGAGAGTTGAGAACCTAGTTGCTACGCATTGATGACTTTGTATTTAACAGGAATCCTTTCCCACTGAGACTTGTCCAACAAGAAAAACCCTCGGAAGAACCAGATTGGGTTAGTGAAGAACAGACAGTTCACAGTCGTCTGATGAACTTTGCAGGCCAAAGTGTCAGCTCCAGCCTTAAAGAGTAATGCATATTGATTGTTCACTTCAAGATGGAGACTCATTTACTGTAGATGGGAAGGCAAATGCTTTTCCTCCTAATTTTAGTTCAAAGCTAGATTAGTTTACTTGTTATTCCTGCATGTATATGAAGATTCATTTTTTTCCTAAGGAGTATATAGCATGAACACCATCTTGGCCCCCATTCCAAAATCTAGACTTGAAAATCAACTCAAGAAAAGAAATCTCTTGTCTTTGCTCTCATTCTTCTTCTAATCCCATCCAAGTCCACAAGAGGATTTCAAACTTTGACTGTGAATCTTTATTGAGCCAGCCTATAGAACTTCTGTCCGAATAGGGGAATAATCCACTGTACAGATAATGCCTAGTTTGGAGCAAGATCACAATAGCCCATGGCTCCAAGCGTGCTAGGCTTATAGGAATGGAGTGGGTGGAGTGAAGAGGGACTTGATATTCTGCTCTGTTTGTCTTCCAGATAGCAAAGGCTGCATTAGCCCTTGTAAACAACTCACAACTATTTCTTCTTCTATTTTATAAACCCCATGAGGGACAAAAATCCCATCCTCTGGAATAGTTCCGAGCGTCAGAGGCTGGCACCACCCAACACAACTGTCCGGGCTGACACTGATCCCAGAGAGAAAGCCAAGCACAGCCTTTGGTCTGATGAAGTGCCTGTCTGTGGAGTTCACACGCCTATGATGTTTTATAGATTTAAAGTGCTTTTGGGTTCATTTAATTCTCACAACTTAGTGTCATTGTTGCCATGTCTGTGTCAGAGACTGCGAAAATGAGACTCAGGGAGGCTGGCTCACGTGAGTGCATCACAGGGCAATCAGCAGGACGAGCTTAAGCTCGGGTCCCCTGATTGCAGAGCCCAGGTCCTTTTCCACAGCCCCAGAATGTTGGCCGTCAACAGAAAGATATGTGAGGCCCATAAATGCCTCTTTTCAACTCAACAGTATTTATTGATGGCCTCCCCTGTCCTGCTCTGAGCTGGGGTGTGGGGCGTGGGGACTGCACACCCATGGAACAGAAAGCCTTGTCTCTCAGAGAGTCACTGATGGGAGGGAGAGACAGTCCAGTAGACAGCCATTAGCATCCAGGCCTAAGTGCTGCCATGGGCTTAGTCAGGGGACGGGGTGCTACACCCCTCGGACCTCAGGGAGGAAACCTCCCTCCACTCGGGACTCCCAGCCCCGCAGAGCCTCACAGAGTTGCATGTAGTGCAGGTGCTTAAGAAGCACTAGCTGACAAGGGAATCTACAATCAGCCAGAAGAAATGAGACCCTGTGATTGGTATTTGAGAACAGTTTCCTTTCAGGGTTTTTTTTTCTTTAGGATTAAAATCTTAGAGTTAGTTGTCTAAAAAAAAAGTTAAATATTTTATGTGTCTCTCTCCTTGGATTGTGAACTCCTTGAGGTTACTCTCTCACCACCCAGAATAGCACCATAAAAGCACAATAAATATTAAATTAGGTTGCCAATGCCCGAAAATGGCTCTCCCTACTTGCCCGATAATAGGCCTGGGAACCAGTCGGAGGAAGCCCCTCTTCTCCCTCTGCCTCGGCTGCTGCTCCCCCAGCCAGAACACTGAAAGGCCAGGTTGTGCTGTGCCAAGGGAAGCTGAATCATTTCAAAGACATGAGTTAGGTTTCCCTCCTCTTTTCCCCATCTATAGCTTCAAACCTAAATAAAATTTTAGGCTCAGAATTGTTGAGATCATCTGGTTGCAACTTAATGAAGACAGTGAAGCCCAAAATGAGAAGGGCAAGTAACATTAACCATAGGAAGGTTTTATTTACTGCTATTATTAGGTGAGTTTCTGAAATAGAATGAGGATTGTGGATTGGAATTAATGGAAAACACTAGAAGGAACCACCATTTAAATGAAATCACAAAAGACTCAAGCCAAATGTTATGCACATTACTTGTCTGTGAGTCATATCCCCACCATGATGCAGCATTTCTCGCTTGCTGAAATTGAAAGGAAATAATACACACATACACACACACACACACGTTATCTACCTACCTATCAATAATCCATTTTTCTAGCTAATCTATCTATCTAGTATTAGAAAGGGAAAAGTAGTGCTAACCAAAGCCCCAAATTTCCTGAAGAGGATTGGAATTGCGCTATAACATTTTCAGGGGTATCTAACACCATGTCAATTCTTCAGGGTTTTACCTACTCACAAAAAGGAAATTTGTCCAACACTCGGATATATTGTACCTTTATTTATATTCATCAAAGAGATTGCCTTGGCTCTTGTTTTGTCCTGATAATGTCTTAACATTGCTCTCTCCTTTTGTGCAATTTGTAAAAAAAGATGATATTTTATTTCTTAAATTGTATTTATATATACAAAAGCTAAAGCTATTACAAAATCCTGGGATTCATTTTCGTTACTAGGGACCTAAATAGCTAAAGGTTTTTTTAATTTTAAAAACAGGTTGTAATTATTTCTTAATAGATAATATAAAAATTATTTAAAACTCCAAGAACTTGTTTTAATAATCACTATAGATCTAGATATCTTTATCCTAAGGTGTTCATTAAATGTTGTTAACATAAAGCTAGATAGCTAGCAAAATATCATGTAATTTGATAGCCAGGACTTCAAATATTCAATAATACTATAATGTGGCCACAAACCTAAGATTCTCTAAGTGTTGGTTTAAACCAACAGGAACTTGATTCTCTGTGTCTTCCCCCACATTTGGATCCTCAGAGTCTCTTTTCTCCATCTTTACGTCCCTTTGTTTTATTCCCACTTGTAAGCCAGAACATGTGATATTTGATTTCTACTTCTTCATTAGTTCACTTAGGATCATGGCCTCCTCCAGCTCCATCCATGTGTCTGCAAAAGACATGATTTTGTTCTTTTTTGTAGATGCATAGTATGGTGGGAGACAGGTGAGGAATGAAAAATTACCTGCTTGGTACAATGCTCAATACTTGAGTGGTGGGTACACCAGAGGCCCAGTCCCCACCATTACAAATGTAATGCCCATGTAACAAACAAGCACATGTGTCCCCTGAATCTAAAATTATATTAAATGAAACTTAAAAAAGAAATGGGGAATATCTTTGAATTTCAAACCTGATACTGAGGTAGGAATTAGGCAGGATTGGTTTTGCAAGGTACAGGTCACAAAGAGCCCGCTGATAAAATGATATGTGGTAAAGACGCCAGCCAAAACCTGCCAAAAACCAAGATGGCAAGGAAAGGGACCTCTGGCCGTCCTGACTACTCTTTATACAGCAATTATAATACATTAGCATATTAAAGGAGACTCCCACCAGTGCCATGACAGTTTAGGAATGCCATGGCAACCTCTGGAAGTTACCCTAGGTGGTGTGAAAGGAGGAGAAACCCTCAGTTCCAGGAATTGCCTTCTTTTTCCCAGAAAACTCATGAATAATCTACCCTGTGGTTAGCATATAATCAATAAATAACCATAAAAGTAACCAACCAGTAGCCCTCGGGCAGCGCTGCCTACAGAGCAGCCACCTTTTTATTCCTTTACTTTCTTAACAAATTTGCTTTCACTTCACTCTGTCCACCAACACATGAAATTTTTCCTATGAGAAGCCAAGAAGCCAGTTTTGGGGTTCTCCCTGCGACAGCACCACCACAAATGTGTATCTTCCAAGACATTCAAAGGAGAGATGCATAGAAGCTGAACTAGTTAACATAGGCTGCTGTGGGTTCCTTCCTCCTCTGTAGCTGTTGGAATCTCTGGGTTCTGTTGATGGAACAAGGAGGGAATATTCTCAGAGTACAAAGAGAAGCTGTTCTGCTCCCAAAGTTTCTAATCACTCGTACTGGAGCTACCTTTCATTTTTTAACAAAGCACCTATGCATAGAATTCCCATTTTTAAATAGGGCTTTCTAAGATTTTGTCTTTTTTATTCTGTTGATTTTACTTTGTTGCTTTTACAAGACATATTTTTAACATCACTCAGTTCTGGTAAGTGGCAAATATATTATCTCATCTGGGTTGTCCAGGCAATTGTCACTGCCTGAAAATAAATAAGAGAGAAATTTGCATAGTAATAAGGGTATACAGACAAAAATAATTGCAATTTATCTTCACGACAAATGGATCAGTTATCAACCCAGGAGGAGGGAATAGGAATCATCCCCCCTGATATTGAAAGGCAAATAAAGAGCTGGCCTGTTAGAAAATATAATATTTATGATTGAAATTCTCATAATAGTTCTGAGTATGGATAATTTCAGAGTACATTTGGGAAAACATCCGTAGGATAACAGTGTTTAACTGTTTTATAATTGCTTTGGAACTAAATAGAATCTGGCGCTAATGTTTTTATTAATAAAGGAAAGGTTAAACATGAGCAAATAGCCATCATTGTTCATTAAAAATGCCAACCATGAGAAATTCTTGCAATGGCTAAAGGTACTAATGATGGAGTGCAGAGTTTTTTTTTCTCCAATGGAAATTTTCAAAGGTTCAGGTCACAGTGACTTGAGATTTTGAGGTAGAAGTTTAGGTATATCAAGTATTCATTGTTCATCAGGGGCTCATATGGCTTGGTGAGTACTCAAGTCATAAAGGCTCGGGAGCAGATTGGTATATTCAGGAGCAGTGCCATCTTGCACTAAAGGCATATAACACTTGTTGCTGGGAAAGAGGAAATGTGAGAACACGTCATTCCAGCATTTATTCGTAAAAATGCTGTGTCGCTTTACACTGCTCTCCAGTTTACCATGAGACTCGGCACTCAACTCCCTTTCCCTTCCCTTTCACCTTGAAATATCTTGTAGCTCAGATGTTCATAAACCTTGGAACCACCTTAACACAGACAGAAATTGTTTAAAGAACTGAGATTCCTTCTAGTTCTGAAAGATATCGAAGTTTCTGAGTCTACTTGGACAAATGACTTCTTTCACGAGGATCTGCCTCATTCCTGTAAACTGAATTCATCTGTCGTCCGACTTCCCCACCACTCCAGTGTAGTTCCTGGGCCAGCTGCCTCAGCATCACCCCGGAGCTCATTCGAAATGCAGATCCTCAGGCCCATCCCAAACACACTGAATCCAAATCTTTGTTTTAAGAAGATCCTCTGCAGATTCATATTACATGCATCTGAAAGTTTGAGAGGTATTAGCCTACTTGACCTCCTAGATTCTGTGCATACATCCAACTTGACCACCAAAACTCTGCTTTGCTTTCTAACAAGGGCCCTTGCCTGTTGGCCCCCACATGCCTGGGTTCCTTTGGGCCCAGTAACTGCAGGGAAATGGATGTTCTTCTAGTTGTGGACCAAGCCTTCCCTGTTTTTATTTCTCTACTTAACTGCTATAACTCTTTCAGTCCTTACATACACCTGAATCCTAATGATTTGCAACCCTATTGAAGGCGTACCCATGAGGTGTTGTGGCCAAGGGAACATAGTCCAGTAACTGAAGAGTAATTTCAACATGAATTAAACTTTTTTTTCTCAAATATCAAGAAGTGATCACATTTTAAAATTCCTTTTTTTTCTCTCACATCTACTTTCTTCACATTCCGTGGTACTTCCAACTCTCCCTCATACTTTCTGAAAAGCTGCTCAACCTAAAACTTCTTCCACAGCCCTAGATTGCCTATGTCTCCCTTTAACCTCTTTTCTTGTCCCTTAATTCTGCATCTAGAAGGATGAAGAAACCAGTTGGCTGAGAGGGAACCCTTCTTGAAAGGGATGGGGACAGGCGGTGTTACTTACCACTATACTAATGAGGAGGTTCCTAAAGAAATTAAAACTGAGATTACTATATGACTCAGCAATGGGAGATGAAATCATCACCTTGTAAAGATACCTACACTCCCATGTTTACTGCAGCATTATCACGATAGCTAAGAGATGGAAACAAGCTAACTGTCCATTGAGGAACGACTGGATAAAGAAACCGTGGTATGTATATATATACAACAGAATAATTCAGCTCTAAAAAAGAACAGGACATTTCCATTTGTCACAACAGGGATGAATCTGGAGGACATTATGTTAAGTGAAATAAGCCAGACCCAAAGAAAAACATTGAATGATCTCACTCATATGTGGAATCTAAAAAAAAAAAAAAAAAAAAATCGAATACACAGAGAGAGAGAGAGAACAAAACGGTGGTTACCAGGGACGGAATGGGTAGAGTGGAAATGGAAAGATATAGGTCGGAGGATACAAAGTAGCTGATATGTAGGATGAACAAGTCTAGAGATTTAATGTATAACATGAAGACTACAGCTGATAGAATTGTGCCATATTTGGGATTCATGCTAAATGAGCAGATTTTAACTGCTCTTGCCACAAAAGCAAAAAAGGGTCACTATGTGAGATGATAAATATGATCATTTGTTTTACTACAGTAGCCATTTTACTATTTATATGTATCCCATAACATCATGTTGTATACCTTAAATGTACACAATACAATTTATTTTTTAAAAAGAAAGGGATGGGGAGGGAAGGAACGGAATGAACAAGGACCATGGTGCAGAGAAATCTTGGGAGACTTGCTTGTTAATAAATTCTCCCTGTCTCACGTGCCTATTCAGTGTCTGCATTTCTTGCTTGTGTGTGGTCTGTGGCAGAGACGGCTAGCACCCATGAGATTTCAGTTCTCCTTTTCTTCCTGAGCATTCAGCTGAAATACATTTCCCAGCCTCCTCGATTCTAGGTGAGGGCAGGTTCCTTCCCCTATATTGGCTGTTCCTTCCCCTATATTGCCTGCCCCGTGAACGACAAAGATATCCATGCTGTATTTAACTCCAATTTTGATTTGAGAGTCAAAATAAACTTGTGGTCCTCTGGTTCACTTTCGGCTGGTCACCAGGTTCTGTTGATTCTTTCTTCCAAATATCTCTTGAATCCCTTCCCCTCTATCCTATCCCTAATGCCACTGCCTCAGTTCAGAGTCTCGCTGCTTCTCACCTAGATCGGTGCTTCTCAAACTTTAGCATGTGTCAGAATCACACAAAGCGCTTGCAAAAGCACAGATTTCTGGGTCCCACTCCAAGAGATTCCGATTCAGTAGGTCTAGGGTGAGCCTTGTTCTATGCATTTCTAACCATCTCCCAGGTGATACTGTTGTTGCTGGTCCATGGTGTACACTTTGATCAGAATCCGTGTCACCTGGTGCAGCTCAGCCCAGATGCCTGCTCAAATCTCCTTACACAGCACACACCTCAGTCCCCTTGCTCTCAGTCAACAAAGCCGCTTGAGGAAGCCTCATCATGGCCCTGCCAAAGATGCCTTTTGTGAGGATTCAGTCACCTCAGGAGGGTGCCAGCTCTGGTCTAGCTAAGAACCCATGACATGCTGGGCCTCCTAGAGCAATGGGGAAGACAGATTTCTTCCAACTGTTTCAGCTCTATCTGCATGCAGGATCTTATCAGTTCTCTTATAACAAAAATCCTACCCAGTTAAAATACCTGTTACAAAATACTGTGATGGAAAGAGGATAGAAAATGGAATCAGTGTTACAGAATGGTTTTGCCCCTAGAACAGAGGTCCCAACCCCTGGTCATGGACCAGTACTTATTAGGAAGCAGGTCTCACAGCAGGAGGTGAGTGGCAGGCAAGCCAGTAAAGCTTTGTTGGTAGTTACAGCCACTCCCCTTCACTCCCATTACCGCCTGAGCTCCGCCTCCTCTCAGATCTGCTGTGGCATTAGATTACCATAGGAGCACAAACCCTGTTGTCAACTGCGCATGCGAGGGATCTAAGTTCATGTCCCTTGTGAGAGTCTAATACCCACCCTATCCCTTCCCATAGGTCCGTGGAAAAGTTGTCTTCCACCCAACCAGTTCCTGGTGCTAAAAAGATTAGGGACCAGTGCCCTAGAAAACTGCTTCTCGGGGGATCCTTGGTCCTTGTAAGGTCCTACTGGTCCTACTGAAAAGTCCTGACTGAGTAAATGCCCAACAGAAGCGGGACACAAACCAGGAAAAACCTAATGGTTTGCATTAATTATTCTTTGTGGAAAAAAATGCTTCTATAGGGACTGTAGCAGAAAATTATAAATAAATTGTTATGATAATAAAGTAAGACTAGAGAATGCAGTGTCTAAATTCATGCTTCTTTGTAGGAAGATGGAATGATGCAGGGCTTAAGAATATGGGCTTTAGATTCACACAAACTTGAGTTCAAATCTCAATCATATCACTTAGTCATGTAGAGTCAGTTATTTAACTGCTCTTAGACTCAGTTATTTCATCTCTAAAATTGAGCTAAGATCACCTACTCTTAGAATTGTTGTTAGCATCAAATATATCTATGCAAGTCTCCATGTGTATGATTTATCTTCATATATGTCCTATATATCTCCATATCTATCTCCATGTGGATATTCCCCATATCTCCATATATGTATTACACATAAACCATACACATACACACACACATACACATATGTATACAGACACATATATACATATGTGTTAGTAGTATACTGCCTGGCATATAGTAAATGTTCCATAAACGGTAGGGGTAGTACTAGTGTATGATTATTAATAAAGAATGAGATAGAATGACCAACTTAAACCTCTAAAACTTGAGAAATAACTTTCCTTACTGATGCTTCATCTTGTTGGTTCTTGTTATATTTCCCTAAGCACACCATTAAGTCATTTATTTATTATGTACTGTGCGCCAGCCATTATGAATACAAAGCCATGTGAGGCATAATCCAGGCTCCCTTTATTTCTAACTCTTTACTCTCATTCCCCTTAACTCCCCATCA